AAGATAATTGGCTCCCTGATCTCCTGTTTATGATTCACGATGACACTATTTCTACTGTTTCATCCTTTTAGTTACTAATATTATTAAACTATTATCATTCTATACTTCTTGTAGATTTTTGACTTTATTGTCACTGCTAATGCCAAAAAGTTGCTATTATCAATTTCGATTACCCATGCAATCCGTTGTTTCTTTTTCCGGTTACTGAGTATTCATAAATGTGTAAAACTTTGTCCCTGTGGTAGTAAGTACTTCTATATTAGTTTGTTTATTAGATGTATCACACAGTGAAACAGTAGTATTATTTACTGGATAACGTTTCTAACACAATCTAGTACTGTTCATAATCAGGCCATCAATTATAATCACAGGACTTCGAAACTTCAGTTTTATAGTATTCTTTGTTCTCTCCTATTTGTCGTCGTAGGCGTGGTAGTAGAATTTTCCAGATATCTGCCTGGACAGGTGTTGATTCATTCCTATTACACGTATTCTCTCTCAGTTGATTCGATAAACAAAGCTTCCACTGTCATCAATCTCTCCCTCCATTCACCCTGTGACATTCGATTTTAAAACTGTCATCCTATCCCATCCATCCTATTCTACGGTTGTGTGTAACTGCATGTAGTGAGTGCTATCTACGGCTCAACTATTCTCCAGATTTCTTATCTTACCCGGATCAACTAGTCTGGATCTTGCTGCTAGGCTTTTATGCTCGGCTAGTCTGACTGACTGACTGACTAACTAACTAACTAACTAACTAACTGACTGACTGACTGACTGACTGACTGACTGACTGACTGACTGACTGACTGACTGACTGACTGACTGACTGACTGACTGACTGACTGACTGACTGACTGACTGACTGACTGACTGACTGACCCTGTTCTACTAGTTTGACCTGCGTATTTCACCTGACTGACAATCATTGCAGACAGGGTATTAGATAAACTAAATTGTTTTGTTTTAAAGGCTCCACAGGATCCACCATTCAACCGACAAAGCTTCTTGCTAATTGATTTTGTTTGTGGGTGGTTTGAATGCCAGCCACTTTCATTCCTGCCTGCCTTGTTAACAATTCTGCCTAAGGTGGTTTCCGAGGTTCCTTCCTTGTATGGAATTACTACTACTGATGATGATGATGATGATGATTTAGATTCCTTATCGTTGGTATTGTCTTCCGCATATTTCACATGCATGTCGTCATTCATATTATTATTATTATGATTATTATTTCCATTACTATCACTACTATCATTATTTATTTTATTTTTACATTTCCACCTACATACTTTCTGACCAATTAATTCATCAGGGTAATTATTTATTAAGTTTCAAAGCTTCTCTTATATGCCTCACCTTCTGTCTTAAATTTTCCTTGGTATACTACTTCGTTTTTGTGCTCTATTACTTAAACATTTCACCAATCCTATTTTCACTGACATAGGATGGGATGATTGGAAATCCGAGTATCTGTTTGAATGTGTGGGTTTCCTGTAAACACTAGTGTGTTTAGCTTTCTATCTTCTTTCCTTTTTACCCTGCAGTCAAACATTGGAAGCTCCTATTCCTGACTTTTCAATTCATAAGTGAATTGAATTGCATCCACCTTTGAGTTAATGTGTTCGAAAAATCTATCTATATCCTGTGTTCTAAGTATAGTGAATGTGTCATCTGCATACTTCCACCATACTTTTGGAGTGGGGTTGAATGTTTTAATTGCTATGTTTTCCACCCATCCATGAATATATCTGCTACAATCAGGGATATTCGTGATCCCATGGCAATTCCCTCAGTTTGTTTGTATAGTTTCCCTTGGAATTTATATACCGTGGAAGCCGGGCACAGCTGCACCCCCAGCATTATTTCTTCAAGTGGCACTTTCGTCCTAAGTTCGAGTTCTTGGCGAGAAATGAGTTCGTTTCTGACCGCTTCTGTAGCCATATTTATTAGTATACGTGTATATAAACTGACAATGTCAAAACTAACCATTTTCTCTTCATTATTTAATTTTAAATTATCTAATCTGTTTTTGAGTTCATAAAAATTCATTAGTCTAGATTTCGAGTGGCTTTTAAGGGGATTTAATACCATGGTTAAATACTTAGATAATTCATGAGTAGGTGAATTTCTAAAATCAACTATAGGTTTAATAGGTTATCCGGACTTATGAACTTTAACAACACCATACATCCTACATGTAATAGGAATGATTCAACACCTGTCCAGGCAGATATCTGGAAAATTCTACTACCACGCCTACGACGACAAATAGGAGAGAACAAAGAATACTATAAAACTGAAGTTTCGAAGTCCTGTGATTATAATTGATGGCCTGATTATGAACAGTACTAGATTGTGTTAGAAACGTTATCCAGTAAATAATACTACTGTTTCACTGTGTGATACATCTAATAAACAAACTAATACGGTTACTGAGTAGATTAGATGCAGTATTGTACCAAATGCTGATAATCCCGCACACTATATCATAAATACTGTTTTGAAATAAGACAAACCGTTATTATTATCATTGAATAAATTTAATGGAAACTTTATTGAATCCAAAAAGTAAATTATCGAGTAAATTCCTTCATTTTTCCAATTTCTTGCTTCCTATCTTATTTACTTTGATGTTTATCGACTTACAATATGAGTTACATTGACAATAAAGCCAGTGTTTCTATATTACTATTACTATTACGTTGGGTTCCTTAGTGGAACATAGGGCTTTAATAACATATCTCAACTTTGTCCTATTTTCTGCTGTCCTATTCAGCTGGCTAGTCCCACGGTTGACCATAATCTCTCATCTCCTTCTCCTACCCAACACACGATCTCCTCCATGTCACACTCGATGTGACGACTCACTCATCAAGTGATGGGCGCAATGTCATTTAATGGCCTCCCTTCTGAACGTACGCTCGATCCATCCATCTCCATTTTCTCCTACATAGCCTTTGTTGAGCAATCGGCCCTGGGTTAGTCTGTTCCCAGCCGGAGTTTCTTGTTGCTAATTCTTTCTGGCTTGCCGGCTGGCTGGTCATTCGATCTTCAGTATGGAGCCAGCCAGCCAGCCAGTGATTATGGCAGCTGTTGATAAATCTCTGTAACTTGTTCGAAATCTTTCTCGTGACATACGCATCAAGTTTCTGACCTGTATAAAATGACTGGCTGACTTAACACTTGTGTTGAAAATCCAGATTTTTCTCTATATGCTGAGGCCGAGTGCAGAAGATTTTCAAACTGGTTTTCAGGATGATGAAGGCATCTGTCTTGCCTTTTCGATTCTGGCTTTCTGGCTGGCTTTGACGTCTTCATCCGTTCCGACTGCCTGTGACTGAAACTCTGCTTCCTAGCCGGATAAGTGAAGGTATGAAGTGAACTCTATCGAATCTCGCCATTTGGTGGTGATTGGTGCTGGTTGTTGTTGTTGTTGCTGGTGGTGGTGGTGGTGGTCGGTTGGTTATCTTCATCACCTCCGTCTTCTCTATGTTCAACTGGAGTGCGTGCTATTCATCTCCATCTTCTTCTACAAATTTTTTGAGCAATAGCTTCTTGATTGGTCCACTCGCAGAGTTTCTTGTTTCTAATTCTTTCTGGTCTGCCATCTACTCTTCAGTATAGAGGCAGCCAGTGAAGGTGGCAGCCGTAGATAAAAGTCTGCAGTAAGCTGTTTCCTGACTGCAGTAGACTGGATAATGCGACAAACAGCGGGCAATGAGGAAACAGGCATAAAATGGACTCACACAAAAAACTTGGAGGATCTGGACTTCGCCGATGATATATGTCTGATTTCCCACAAACTGGAAGATATGCAAGCGAAAAGTAACAACTTGGCAGAAGAAGCATCAAAGATAGGACTCCAGGTGAACATAGATAAAACAGAGGTGATGAAGATTGCTGGACAAGAACAACAACAATAGACAACGATCAGCCAGCATAAATGGGAGGAACCTGAAAGAAACAACCTCTTTTACCTACCTGGGAAGCATCGTTTCAACTACAGGCGGAACTGACGAGGATATCAAAACACAGATCCGGAAAGCAAGGCAAGCTTTCACTACTCTCAAGCCTGTGTGGAGGTCAACAGCACGCAGCACGAAAAATAAGGTCCGGATTTTCAACTCCAATGTGAAGTCAGTCAGTGCTACTATACGGATCAGAGACTTTCACTGCGCGTCATAAAGAGCATCTCAAACAAACTACAGACCTTCATCAACAGTTGTCTTCGCTTAATACCACTCAAGATCAGATGGCCGGCCAGAAAAGATAAGCAACAGGGATCTCTGGCAATGAGCGAACCAACCCAGCAGGAACCGATTGTGAAACAAATATGCAGAAAGAAATGCAGCTGGTGGATTGGCCATACTTTGAGAAAACAAACCATCAAGTGACATCACTAGACAAGACATTGCTCAAGTGGCAACCGAAAGGGAAGCGGCGAGTTGTTCGTCAGTGTGAGGGTGACTTGGAGGAGGTCATGTGAAGAGGAGATGAAAGCATCTGGGCAGATGTGGAGCCAGGCGATGAAAACGTTGGCAGAGAACCGAAGGCAATGGAGACGCACGGTTGAAGCCCTATGTTCCTCTAGGAATTAAAGGAAGCAATAATAATATAATAAAGCTGTTAGAAATGTCACCTTATTATCCATAGCAAGGTATGCTGTAGTTGTATACTTCAATCTTAGTTTCTGCATTTACCACTACCACTATTACTATTACTATATTATCCAATAACCATGAGACAGTGGTTATCTTCCTCTCTACCCCTACCAGTGTACACATTCAGAATGACTGACTGCCTGGATTATATATAAAAACTTGAATGAATTCGTCTTTGTTATTATGATAATCCCCTTGATTGTTATTCTCTAATTCGTAAGCATGAACTTTATTTAATTCTATTAATCACACTGATTTCTCAAATGTATTTTGCTATTTCTTACATCATATCTTCGTGTGTGTGTGTGTGTGTGTTCCTTCTTTTTCATAAAGTAAATCTACTAATCATGAGTGTCACAGTGACACTGCTGAAGAAGTTAAAATCGAGTTGAAACGTGAAATTGGCCTATGGAGTGCTGTATCTATGACAGTTGGTTCAATTATTGGATCTGGTGTATTTGTTACACCGAAAGGTGTACTAGGGAATAGTGAACAAAGTCCTGGTATATCTATACTAATATGGATTATATGCGGTGGAATTTCTTTATTGGGTTCATTGTGTTATGCTGAACTTGGTACTACAATAAAATATAGCGGTGGTGATTATGTCTACATTAAACAAGCATTTGGTAATCTACCAGCATTTCTACAATTATGGGTAAGTATAATTCTTCAGCTGGCTGGAAATGCCAGGATTGTATTATTGTGTTATATCTTCACACTAAAGAAAATGTACAATGTATATTGCACCTAATCCGCCTGCTGAGCGATCTGGAATCCAATAGTTGCTCTCCATAGCCTCATCTAAGTGAATTATGCTTACAGGATTTTCGTCATGAGCTGACATTAGTTAGAGAAGCATTGGAAAACCTGGGAGTACTGGACAGCTGTTTCATCAGCCTAGTTTGGGACTCTTCATCAGTACGCACCCACCACCGGGATTCGAACCCAGGACCTTCTGGTTACAAGATTAGCGAGCTCGTATACCATTAAGCCCATATTACTTACTATCTTCGTTATTCTTATCGGCGCGTGCATAAACCGTATTATCATAATTTTGTTATCATTATAATCATCGTTATTAATGACGTTCAAAATATTTACGACATTACTACTATTGCTATTATTATTTAATCCACAAAATCAGCGTCATTGGTTAAAATTTTTTATAGATAAATCCATGTAAATTAGACTAAAGCCTGAAGAAGATGTAATTGAAAACTTGAAAATTTCCATTCAGTCATAGAAAAGAAAAGGCGTTCAGCAAAGAGTTACTCTTTTCGGTGATATCATTCTCAAGCTGTACAAACCGCAAATTTATAATAATTTCTCTTGGCAACAAAAGGAATGTTTCCAAAGATGTGTTAGTGCAATTGTTAAGTCTTGACAACAAATTACGTAATTTAGAAGGCGTTAATCGGTTAGAAACTAAAATAAAGTTACAAAAGTAGGTTTGGTGACGTAATCTAATCGCTAGGGTTCAATGAAAAATGAATCAGAGTCAAGTTAATAATCTGAGTAGAATTCATTTGAAAATGAATGAGAGTTAGGTTAATAAGCTGAGTAGAATTCACTTAGAAATAAACGAAAATGGAGTTAGTAACAGTCGTCATGAGGGTAGAGATTTAATAGAGGGTGGGGGCAGAAAATAATGCAACTAAGAAACAGACAAACAAAGAAGAAAGAGGTAAGACAAAATTACGTATTTGGTGTTGAGATAGATCAGGACCATTGTAGATTTAGTGACTGAACAAACTTCTTTTGTATGCAGAGTTCAGGATTCAATATGTGAATTGCCATTGCTTCTGCAGTTTGAAGAAGTTTAATTCGTACTCTTTTGGCAAGATTCCCATGTATTGTGTGGATAACTGAGAAGTTGTTTTGTGGGTTTGCTTGGTGTCCGGATTCGATCAAGTGTTCTAGGATAGAGCTGTGGCGGGGGGATCTTCTTTCTCCTTTATAAAACCCTAAATTCTAAATTACGTAATTTGTTGTCAAAAATTAACAATTGCAGTAACACATCTTTGGAAACATTCCTTTTGTTGCCAAGAAAAATTACTATAAATTTGCGGTTTGTACAGCTTGAGAATGATATCACCGAAAAGAGTAACTCTTTGCTGAACACCTTTTCTTTTCTATGTAATTGAAAACATCAGTATTGTTCGCTTATATGCCTTGTTCTAATATTAATAATGGGAATATTTAAAGATTTGACAATACTAGACCGAACTGCTCGAAGTCTCTTTATGTGTGTTACGTCACAGTAAGAGCCTTTTCATTAAGATTAGCATGATGTTACCTGGTTGATTGATGGTGGGAACCAATAGCAAAGCGGTTGTCCGGTGTTTTTATATCGATGTGACTAACTAGCAAGCACCATTGGTTGATATGATTGGTACACAACTTCTCATGTCAATCAGTTAGTGGCATAATGGAATATGGGATGCGCGTTTCAGCAGCTGCATGTACCTGCCTGTCGAGGGGGTGAATATATATTCCTACTAAAATTCTAGATTCTAGGGCGTCGGTGGCATAGCGGTTAGGACGCTCGCCGACCATGTACATGGTCCCGTGTTCGTTCCCCGGCCATGGACGCACTTCTTTACCTCGCTAAGCCTATAGTAAAACTGGTAAAGAAGGAAGGTTGGGCATATAAGGCTAGCAACCCCATCCTGTAACAATAAACACTGCTACAGAACCTTCAAGCCTCTAGCTTGAAGCCCTATGTCCCACTGGGAATGTGAAGGAATAAAAAAAAGAGATTCTACCTCAACACCCATAGTTATGAATTTCCTAGCTGAACAACGATTTGCTAGGTATATTCAGCTGATGAGTTCGAATCAGGTTGAAACAGATTTATTTATGAATTGTCCATTAAAAAATGACTAGGATTTTAAAGATTTACTAGATTTAATATCTGTTGAATTACTTACTGAAAACCTCAGAATTTCGAAAGAATAAATGCTATTCCCACAGTGGATTACTGACTTCGTACAAAGAGAAGCATTCAGATGCATAAAGCCAAAGTGAAAATCTAGTTAGTCAGTATTTTTGTTGCTGAAATTATCCATCTCGGATGGTTTATCATCTGATCTTTGAGGCATAGTTGAGCCAGTTGAGCTTCCAATGTTAGATTGTAAAGTAAAAAGGAAAGAAGATAGAAAGCTAAACACACTAGTGTTTACAGGAAACCCACACATTCAAACAGATACTCGGATTTCCAATCATCCCATCCTATTTCAGTGAAAATAGGATTGGTGAAATGTTTAAGTAATAGAGCACAAAAACGAAGTAGTATACCAAGGAAAATTTAAGACAGGAGGTGAGGCATATAAGAGAAGCTTTGAAACTTAATAAATAATTACCCTGATGAATTAATTGGTCAGAAAGTATGTAGGTGGAAATGTAAAAATAAAATAAATAATGATAGTAGTGATAGTAATGGAAATAATAATCATAATAATAATAATATGAATGACGACATGCATGTGAAATATGCGGAAGACAATACCAACGATAAGGAATCTAAATCATCATCATCATCATCATCAGTAGTAGTAATTCCATACAAGGAAGGAACCTCGGAAACCACCTTAGGCAGAATTGTTAACAAGGCAGGCAGGAATGAAAGTGGCTGGCATTCAAACCACCCACAAACAAAATCAATTAGCAAGAAGCTTTGTCGGTTGAATGGTGGATCCTGTGGAGCCTTTAAAACAAAACAATCTAGTTTATCTAATACCCTGCCTGCAATGATTGTCAGTCAGGTGAAATACGCAGGTCAAACTAGAAGAACAGGGTCAGTCAGTCAGACTAGCCGAGCATAAAAGCCAAGCAGCAAAATCTAGACTAGTTGACCCGGGTAGGATAAGAAATCTGGAGAATAGTTGAGCCGTAGATAGCACTCACTACATGCAGTTACACACAACCGTAGAATAGGATGGATGTGATAGGATGACAGTTTTAAAATCGAATGTCACAGGGTGAATGGGGGGAGAGATTGATGACAGTGGAAGCTTTGTTTATCGAATCAACTGAGAGAGCATACGTGTAATAGGAATGAATCAACACCTGTCCAGGCAGATATCTGGAAAATTCTACTACCACGCCTACGACGACAAATAGGAGAGAACAAAGAAAAACTATAAAACTCAAGTTTCCAAGTTTTGTAGTTATAACTGATGATTTGTTGATGAACAATCATAAATTGTGATGGAAACTGTTTCAAACTGTGTGTGATATGTCTAAGAAACAAATTAATATGGCACGTCTTAACTTCATGCATTTATTCCCCTTGATGAATTTGAATAAAGCAAGAACAACAGTGGTTTGTGCAGAATAATATGGAACTATGACTTATTTGGTTCGCTTCTCATCAGCTGCGTGCTGCCTAAATAAATAATGAGGTTTACGTACGGAAAAGTTTTAACAAACTTGCAAATTTTACATGTTGTCAGTTGACAGAAAGTTCCACAACTAGTGAACAGTGCTCAGAAAATTATGCTTATACAGTTTTTACACAGGCAATTCAAGTTTAAACAAAATAAATGTATGCATACAATGGTAAAGGAGTTACGTAATAGATATGAGAGATGTGTTTGATGCAGAGTTACTAATAAATTAGGTAACGATATACTGAGTTCAACTCAAATCATAGAAACAAGAGACATGCAAAATTACAGGTTATAAATGGGGGTGAGGTTAAAGGCAAAGATTACGTAATCAAATGAAAGAAAGAATAAAGACATCCAGTTACCAGGTGGGTAAAGAAAGACTAATAACTGATTCTTTCTGAACACACAAATATGGTTTCAAGCGCTTAATAGAAATTGCTTCGGCAAACTTGAGGATAATGCAGCTCCTTTGTCTATTGATTATGTTTAAAGGATTTCTCGATTTCCACCTCATTACGCGTGTCGAGGAGATGTCTGGTAATAGCGCTACTATAAGAGTTTGTTCCCTTGAGACGTAGGCTTTTCGGCACATGTTCAGAAAATGGTGGTACCATATTATTCTGCACAAACCACTGTTGTTCTTGCTTTATTCGGAATCTCTTAAATTTATTTTTAAATTTAAATTTAATTTTATCGCTTATCGTTGATTTTTGTTGTTGTTGTTTTTGTTGTTGTCGATTTTCGCCTGCTTATACAACCTTACAGGTTAATCTTATAGTGCTCAAACCAACAACGACTGCAATCTGTGCTGTAAGCTTTGCTTATTACGCCTTATATCCAATTTATCCAAACTGTGAGCCGCCAAATATACTTATTATCATCCTGTCTGTCTTGTCTATCAGTAAGTTGAAGATGAAAGTCAACAATTTTCTAATGCTTATTGATGCAAACATCGAAAGTAAGCCATTCCTTGGAACTTATATTATTCTGATAGTGGATTTAAGGCTAGTTGCATGATACTATTTTCAAAGACTATTACATAATAATATTCAGATTTCTTGGGTATGTAAGGACCCTGATATCTTCTTCTTAAATATGTATTTATATAGTCATCGACCAACAACAGTTAGAGTATCATTGAAAATCATAGAAGCCTGGGCAGCTGTTTTGCACTAACCTGGGACTCTTTAGTGGTTCGAATCAAAGACCTTTAAATTATGAGGCTAATCCATTGATCCACTGGTTGTCAACTTAGAATTCGACAATTGGTCAATTCCTATTTCATGTAATTAGGAACATATGAGTCAATAAAGGGATATCTTTTCCCTAACTCCATTGCACTCCACTGCTGTACAGTTATCAAGGAGGTTTATCTATGCAGTGTAAAATGACAACTGACGTCAAAGGCTACTGTCAATTAGTAACACGTCACGAAAACGAGCTTCAACAAGTTATAAACCCTCATCAACAGTTGCCACCTCCTCTGGCTAGCTGGCTGGCTGGCTCCATACTGAAGGTCAAGTGGCCAGCCGGCCGGTTGGTCGGCAAGCCAGAAAAAATGACCAACAACAAACTCTGGCTGGCTGGCAGAAAACCAACCAACGAAGAGCCGATTGCTCAATAAACATGTCGGCGAAAATGGAGGTAGATGGATCGAGCATACGTTCAGGAAACCCTCAAATAACATCGCGCGCAATGCAGGCCATCCCTAGAGTGGAATCCGAATGTAACGCGATGAGTGGGTCCTCCTACGGTACAAGGCTGATATGGAGGAGATTGGGTGTTGGGGAGGAGGAGGAGGAGATGAGAAATTATGGTCAGTCGTGGGAGTAGCTAGCTGAAGAGGACAGCAGAGAATGGAAGAAAGTGGAGATGTCTTGTTGAATCCATGTGTTCCACTCGGAACTCAAGGCAGTAATAATAATAATTGTAACAAAATAAATCAAAGTGCATGAGTAATAACAGTGTTTGAAAAATTAAGAATAATTTTACGTTAAGTAGGAGGATTGATAACTAATCAGTTGATTGGTGAATAATCGTATGGAAATGGTTGATAAAAGAGAGAGAGAGAAGAGTGAGAGAAAGAGACAAGAGAACAAGAGATTGGAAATGAGTTGCAAAAATCACAAAACGGACCACATAGAGCATCTCATACAGCTAATCAGGAAGACGAAAACAAACAAGATATAGTACTAAAGCCATGGCAGTAAAAGAGCTTGAGAAAGACGTTTCTGGAAACGAAACTCATCTTCCTTCGTAAGAATTGCTAAGGCCTCGGCTGCGTTAAGACGATATAGGCGCAACCCTGCCTAACTACCTGGTCGTACTTTATATATCACTCTGAAAGAAGTCTCCTCTAATGCTTCATAACCAGAAGTAATCATGTGATTGAGAATTCAACTATTGACAGCACTACATTCTCCTTTTAACAACCATGCTGGTAAATGTTTATGATCACGTCCAGACAATGTCCTGCTGCTATGGCCTATGTACTTAGCTCCACAAAAGCAGGTAAATTGGTAAGTGCACATTCAAGTTGCTAACAGCGGGACCTTTTCTTTAACGTCTCGGTGAATAAAGCCATATAAGGAGAAAAAGAAGCGTAGAGTTCCAACAAAGGAGGTTTTTCGAAACACTCTCGACAGCCTCTTTAACCAGCATATCTTAAGTACTATTTTTTTCTTTTTTCTCTGTCTTGTTGAATAACTGCATAAAAAGCTCTAATTTGGTGTAGTACTGTTGTCTGAGCTGGATGGTTTAGTTAGAGGGGCTTTCATCGTCTTACTAGGGAACATCCTCAGCGCGTAATTAAGTTATCCACCTGAGCTACAAATCTTCTCCATAATAAGCTCTATTTAGTCCGTTTTGTGATTTTTGCAACTCATTTCCAATCTCTTGTTCTCTTGTCTCTTTCTCTCACTCACTCTCTCTCTCTCTCTTTTATCAACCATTTCCATACGATTATTCACCAATCAACTGATTAGTTATCAATCCTCCTACTTAACGTAAAATTATTCTTAATTTTTCAAACACTGTTATTACTCATGCACTTTGATTTATTTTGTTACAATTATTATTATTACTGCCTTGAGTTCCGAGTGGAACACATGGATTCAACAAGACATCTCCACTTTCTTCCATTCTCTGCTGTCCTCTTCAGCTAGCTACTCCCACGACTGACCATAATTTCTCATCTCCTCCTCCTCCTCCCCAACACACAATCTCCTCCATATCAGCCTTGTACCGTAGGAGGACCCACTCATCGCGTTACATTCGGATTCCACTCTAGGGATGGCCTGCATTGCGCGCGATGTTATTTGAGGGTTTCCTGAACGTATGCTCGATCCATCTACCTCCATTTTCGCCGAAATGTTTATTGAGCAATCGGCTCTTCGTTGGTTGGTTTTCTGCCAGCCAGCCAGAGTTTGTTGTTGGTCATTTTTTCTGGCTTGCCGACCAACCGGCCGGCTGGCCACTTGACCTTCAGTATGGAGCCAGCCAGCCAGCTAGCCAGAGGAGGTGGCAACTGTTGATGAGGGTTTATAACTTGTTGAAGCTCTTTTTCGTGACGTGTTACTAATTGACAGTAGCCTTTGACGTCAGTTGCCAATTTTCACTGCATATATAAACTCTCTAGATAACTGTTGATCCATGGAGTTGAGTAACGCAAATGAGATCTCTTTACTGATTCGTGTTGTTTTTTAAACTAATGATGAATTTCAGCTTCTACAGCTGTTAAGTTCCATAGAATACCATCTGAAGGAATATATTGTATTACTCCATTGTTTTCAATGGTTCTCGGACTGATGTTGGTTCATGAAAAAATCTATATTTAGTGATAGCCCGCAATGAAATATATGCTAAGTGTTTAATTTTATTCAAAACTTGTATGTTACAGGTACCTGCGCCCATGTTTATATTTTCAGCATAATTATAATTTGGTATTCAATCACTTTGAACAACTGAGTGGTATTCACCTAATCAGTAAAAAATACAAGACCTGCCATAGTATGATTATTAGAATAAAATCTGTAGTGATTAACCTCCAACCATCACCTGAAATTGCATTTAATTTTTTTTTCAAAAGAATTGAAGCCTTCAATATCTCTGAGGAAGTAAAGTCGTCGGGTATGTTTCACAGTCGAATAGGATAACGACAGCAAAGTAGCTGCGGTAGTGATCTGTCGAGATATATTCAATGGCATTTTCTAGGAAGCCAGTTAGTTACACTGCCTAAACGACTTCTAGATCATTTCCGGCTGACTTCAACTAGAAATAACGCTCATTACTGTTATTTGGTCATCTATCTTGCCAGACCTGAGGTTTAGACACACTACTCACTGACCATTTGCGTCGGTGGCATAGCGGTTAGGACGCTCGCCGACCATCCACATGGTCCGGGGTTCGATCCCCGGCCAGAGACGCACTCCTTTACCTCGCTGAGCCAGAAATAATACTGGTAAAGTGGAAAGGTTGGGCGTAAGGCTAGTAACCCCATCCTGTAAAATAAACACTGCTACAGAAACTTCAAGCCACTAGCTTGAAGCCTTATGTTCCACTTGGGAACGCGAAGGGAAAAAAAACTCGCTGACTCTTTAGCCTCATCCACCTAACCTGGTGGCCAGGCTATTCTTATTACCACTGCAACTAAAGAAGGGAGAATATAACCCTTATGGATGTTCAAGGATATCTACAGAGAATATAAAGACACACAATCACACCATGACTGAGTAACCTCCATCTTGTCCCTTGAAAACCTAATGGTCTGCAGTTTGATTCAATCAGTGCAGATGAACGGATCAATCGTTGGGGGTAACATGGATGACGTTCAGTTGAACTGACGAATTTCTTAGATCCCTTGAAATTTATTTCCAGATCGCGATATTTCACACCCGTGAAATTTTACCGTATAGTAAATATATATATATTACTAATAAAGGCTAAGGCATTAACTTATCACTGAGGGAGTAAATCATGGTAAAAGTTGCAGTTCGTGGTCCATTGGATCACACCCAAGTGACTGAATGGCCTACCAGCCTTCATTGTAACTAGAAGGTTCGGAGTTCAAAACTTGAAGGTGCATAGGTGCTGGTAAAGAGTCTCGGACTAGGACGAAACAACTGCCCAGTATGCCGTCATGATTTTCAAGGGTTCTGTAACTGATATCAATCCATCATCAAAATTAAGGAGCCATTCTCCCAGTCATAGAGATTAGTCTTATATTTTTTTTTATTCTCAGTGGTTGGGAAGAGGATAAGATCTCTCATTCATTTTGATAGTCCCACCTTTGTAGTTTTATTCCTTTACGACTAGAGTGGAACGTAAGGCGCCAAGTTACAGCTTTGAAGTTTCAACAGCAGTGGGTTTTTAAGGACTGCAGCTGCCAGTCTCGTGCCCATCCCTCCCTCTTTACTGGCCTTATCATCGGCTTAGCGAGGTTTAAGAGTACGTCGGCTGAGGATCGAACTTCGGACTATGTAGGACGTGGATGGAGAGCATCCTACCGCTGGACCGCCAATGCACGTTCCTCTTTACTAAACACTATTGTTATTATCATTGAGAGTTCCGATCGACTAGTCCATTCCCCCTTTAACAAACTTCATACATTTATCTGTTAGAGAGAGTACTACGCTTCTCAACTGAACACAACACACTGATCGATTGAACTGTAACTACCTAATTTATAATCACATTTATCAGTAGTAACCACTGTGCACAAATTGGTAATTTGATATTCACTCAATTAAATTCATATAACATTTTACTTCGTTGTATAAATTTTCTATATTAAAAAATGAACAAATTTCAAGGTTCAATGGATGGTTGTTTATGCGTTTGTGAACTTTTCAATGTTTGTCGTATTTTTGTTGTTGCTGTTGTTGTTATTGCAAATGCCAGCTAAAATGATAAATAAAAGACAAATTCTGAGAAGAGAATTGTCTTTATCGACGAAATCATCTTCAGAGGCTGTACAGTTGACTAATGAAAAGGTTAAGACCATGGTAGAATAAGAGACTGGATAAAATTCTTCTGTATACAGAGTTCGGCGTTGCATTGATGAATTGCCAACGCCTCCACCATACACAAATGCCGAAAGTTAACGCCCTTTATACCATTTGATCTTACCTTGTAGATGCGCTGGTGATTCGTCAACATAACACCGAACTCTGTATAGAGAAAAAGTTTGTCCAGTCACTTATTCTACCTTGCTTTTAATCTCTTCACTAGTCATTCCGTGTAGAAAAATTTCTTTCTTTTTTGAAAATTTTCAATTTTACTTTTAGTTTCCTTTTACTTTAATAATTAATTCACTATTATCACTCGCATATGTTCCTTTTGAACTTTTGCTCACCCTCTTGACACTTGTTAAATGGACACTCAACTATCTTTATTCTTTATCAATAACAATGTGACGAAGTCATCAACTAGACAGCTGTACATTTGTGTATTTATAACAAATGGAAGAGAAAGTTCCAGAATAATTTCCGGTTAGGGGTCAAATTAATAAAATTACAGTTAGGAATTAAAATGCCATATTAAAAACAAGGCGACGGATAAAACTCAAACAAAGTAGCATCATAATTACTGAGAAGATTGACATTGGTTGTGCAATTAGGGGTTAGAAGATGATTTCGTCGGTGAAAAGAATATTTTCTCCGCTGAATTGTCTTTTATTTTCTTCATGACTCAATGAGGGTATTGTCGGTGATTTAAAATGATGAGGAAATTCTAAAAGTATCTCATTAACTGGCCTTGGTGTTTCACTGGTAAAATGACCACCAACCACGCAGGTGGTCGGCGATTCCACACGTCTGACCTATGAACTCTTAAACTTCATGTAGTTTTACTAGTAGACAGTAAACTTAGCAAAGAAGAAAGACTGGAGATGAGACTAGAAATCAAACTTCGTAAAAAACAAGACTATGGCTATGGAAACACTCGGAACTCAGAAGAGTTTAAAAAAATGGGGGGGGGGAACTTATCAGTTGAAGAACAGTGAAAAGTATCATATTGTTGGCGAAGTTAAACTTTTTTAGCACCACTAACTAACTACCAATAATGGAGTGTAACCGCACCACTGACTTTGAATGGTCCAGTGAGTTTTGTTCATTTGAATTGAAGCTGCTATATTCCTCTTGATTCAAGTCAAATACCTGCTGTAACGCAATTGCGTTTGCAATTTAGTGAGGATCAAGTCTTCCAGTATTGCTTAGATGTGGGTTTGATGATGTGATGACCATAAAAAGCTTCAGCAGATCTGTTGATGAACATGTGCATCGTTGTGCAGTTTGTTGGAAATGAGTTAGTGTCATTGAAGGTAAGCTAATGATTCTAATATTTCGTAGGAACATTCTTTTGCCAGATCCCTGCTTTCCAAAAACCCTGATTTTATATACTTGTAAACAGCCTGTGAGAGATGCAGCTACTAAAACTGAAAATAGTCCCGTATCAACAATTCAGTGGTACCAGCACTGCAGGGATATCGTACCCCGGGAAATGGAGAGGTTTACTTCCTTATTGGGGTGGGGGGCGGGGAGAAGGTGTCGTCGTACACATGGATGAAACTATCTTATTAAAGTAAAAATACAACCTTGATCGAGAACGAGCAAACAATATTCGGCTTATCTGACACCTTCCTACAGAAAGGATTCGTTAAGAGAATAGCAGACAGAAAGTCAACTGCTTTCATACCCATTATTACTCGACTGGTAAGACAGGGATCGATAATACACACCGATGAGTGGAAAGGCTATAACTCGCTGTCATCCCTTGGATATATTCACCACAAAGTCAACCATTCTAATGATTTTCTTTGCATCCCATTACAGGGACACATACCAATTCTATAGAAGGCTATTGGGGAAGATTAAAAAAACAGGATTAGGGCTATAAATGGATGTCAAAAGGAAGTCATTTATAGTCATTTGGATGGATATATGTGCAGAATGTGGTGTAACTTTCCAGTTGATACTCCTGTGCTAAACTGGGAGATGTTTTTATCACATATCTTAGAAAGGTGTCCTCTGTAACACTTTTATATAGATTTTATGCATTTTTTTCATAAATATATGTACTATATACTGGAAACTGCTTCCGCAACGTGATTGCTGCGCTCAAAGTGGTCATTCGTTGATTGTTAGCTAGTGGTGCTTAAAATTTAACTTTACCATATTGTCTTCAAAACCATGGTGACATCGTTGAATAAGTACTCTTAATTGACGCATATTTTCTGAGTATGTTAAACATTATCTCTGCAATAATCGTCTTCTTTACGCCTAAATTCTCTTATGTTTAACAATTTTGTTTCAGCAATTCTAACTTGGGTGAATATTATGAAAGTTTGTTGGGCTACAGGAATTCAAAATCTATTCACCATAGCCAAGGTATCAGCCTTAATTGTAATTATTCTCACTGGAGTCATTGTTGTATGTCTAGGTTAGTTGTGTCAAAAAATTGTAATATTATTTGTTTTAACCATACAGTGAAGTTATTTGATAAAATGCATAGAATGATACATACAGTGTGTTTTACCGATGACATTTGGAGCACAATTTCTTGTTGCTTATAATCATATCAAAGCACTCAAATAACATTTAAACTTCGTTTATATAATTCCATTATTTCCTGTGTTTAGATTTCATTGCTATTAGTATTATTTATTATCATTATTATATTATTGTATCCTTTAATTCCTAGAGGAACATGGGGCTTCAGACACGTCTCCATTGCGTTCGGTTCTCTGCTGGAGTCGTCACCTGGCTCCATGTCTGGCCACACGTTTTCATCTCCTCTTCACATGACCTCCTCCAAGTCACCCTCACACTGACGAACAACTCGCCGCTTCCCTTTCGGTTGCCACTTGAGCAATGTCTTGTCTAGTGATGTCACTTGATGGTTTCCTTAGAGTATGGCCAGCCAATCCATCTCCATTTCTTCCTGCCTATTTGTCGCACAATCGGTTCTTGTTCAATTCGCTCCCAGAGGTCCCTATTGCTGATCCTTTCTGGCCATCTGATCCTGAGTAGTATTGAGCGAAGACAACTGTTAATGAAGGTCTGTAGTTTGTTTGAGTTGCTCTTTATGACGCGCAGTGCAAGTCTCTGATCCGTATGTACAGTAGCACTGACTTCACACTGGAATTAGTCTTATGATTCTTATTCTGTGTGTCAGGTGTAGATTCGATGGACAAATGATCACTAATCAACCTCTTTCTCTACACATATACATGACTTTTTACAACTGTAAATCTGTCCCAATCTGTTGTGTTTGTGTAACAGTGTATCATGCATTAGGAAGCTGAGTTTCTCTCTAAACTATTCACCTTCTTCGAGTCAGCCATTTTACACTTAGTTAAATTTTCGAAAGAATGGTTAGTGAACAAAGAATGCTCTTTCGATAACGCCTTCTTCATCAGGTTCTACAGTTATATACATATATATATATATACATAATAGTGAATAAATTAGTCTCATTAACAACATGCATGTTGCTTAAATAACATCGAATCAATAATAATAATAATAACAATGGATTACAATTCGACAGCATCAACATAATAATACACTGAATATCATAAAAAAATTAGGTAAGATAATAATACGAATTCATGAATTTATAGTCTCGACTGAAGGCTGGCCAGGGCAGTAGTAGTGGCTGGTTGGCTGGACTTGCTTCTTTTGCACACAGACCACTGGTTGTTTCACGTGAATCGCGATAGCCTCAGCTGTTTGGAGCATGCGGTACCTCGATGTTTTTGGCAATTTCTTTGGTACCCGGTAGGTGATAGATAGTGAAGGATTCTTCACTACTACTTCGCTACAACGGGGTGCCACCGACAATTATACATCTCATCCAACAACTGTATGACAATGCTGCATGCCAAGTAATCCACAACGGGAAACTTACGGAACCCTTCGAAGAAGTGAGGGCAGGAGTAAGACAAGGCTGCCTACTATCGCCAATGATTTTCCTGATTGCAGTAGATTGGATAATGCGACAAACAGCGGGCAATGAGGAAACAGGCATAAAATGGACTCACACAAAGAACTTGGAGGATCTGGACTTCGCCGATGATATATGTCTGATTTCCCACAAACTGGAAGATATGCAAGCCAAAAGCAACAAGTTGTCAGGAGAAGCATCCAGAAAAGATAGGACTTCAGGTGAACATAGAGAAAACAGAGGTGATGAAAATTCCTGGGCAACACCACCAACAGCAACAACAACAACAACAGACAACTGATAACAGTCAGCATAAATGGGAGGAATCTGAAAGAAACAACCTCTTTTACCTACCTGGGAAGCATCGTTTCAACTACAGGCAGACGGAACTGACGAGGATATCAAAGAAGGAATCGGAAAAGCAAGACAAGCTTTCACTACTCTCAAGTCTGTGTGGAGGTCAACAACACTCGCCAACAAAAATAAGATCGGGATTTTCAACTCCAATGTGAAGTCAGTCAGTGCTACTATACGGATCAGAGACTTGCATTGCGCGTCATAAAGAGCAACTCAAACAAACTACAGACCTTCATTAACAGTTGTCTTCGCTCAATACTACTCAAGATCAGATGGCCGGCCAGAAAAGATCAGCAACAGGGATCTCAGGCAATGAGCGAACCAACCCAGCAGGAACCGATTGTGAAAGAAATAGGTAGGAAGAAATGGAGATGGATTGGCCATACTCTGAGAAAACAAACCATCAAGTGACATCACTAGACTAGCCATCGCTCGAGTGAAACCCGAAAGGGAAGCGGCGAGTTGGTCGTCAGTGCGAGGGTGGGTGACTTGGAGGAGGTCATGTGAAGAGGAGATGAAGGCTTGTGGGCAGACTTGGAGCCAGGTGAAGACTCTAGCAGAGAACCGAAGGCAATGGAGACTCACGGCTGAAGCCCTATGTTCCTCTAGGAATTAAAGGATACAATAATATAATAATAATGATAATAATCTCCTATCCATTTCACTTCTCCTGGCCAGTAGTCAGGAGTTTAGACCAGGTTACCCTGTTGGAAATACGCCACAGCAATATTCAAATAGTTTTGGTGATGGAGACAACATTGTCGAGACAACAGTTCTGCTCTTAGTTTCGTGTGGTATGCGAAAAGGAACTGCTGTATGGTTATTGGTGTAGCCCCCCCTCCTCCTGCTGCTTTCAATACTGTCTCACCGGAAGGTACCCATAACATACTTAGGGGTATATGACAGAGTAGTATCATTGGATGTGACTTACTGTCAGCTGAATGAAAATGCAAATGACTACTGAGCTGAGCTGAGTTGAGTTGAGTTGAGTCCGCTGTAGTTTGTTTGCTTGTTAAAACGACGGGATAGATAATGAGGGCTTTTGGCTGTGTCAATCCGTGTTAATATTACTTTTATTGAGAATTCTTATAGACAACCCTTACTTAATCTTATTACAACTTAATTAAAACGCACACTTTATTTACCTCCCTTACTATCTAGCATTATTTAACCTGACTATTTGTTTATCTTGGCCTTTATCTACTACATCTATCTGAACACGTTTGTTTGTTCGATTGTTTGTTTAATCATGCTGTTTTTCATTATTCTTGTTATCACAATTCACTCCACTTCGCCATCTTTGTTATCATTAGAATTGTTATTATTATCATTATTATTATTAGCAGTAGCAGTTGTATTTTTTGTTGTTGTATGACTAAGTGCACATTCTTATAATTATAAATAATTTGTCTAAGTAAACATGTCATAAAATTTTGCATAAAACCATATACTACTGATGAATTGAAATGAGTAGTTGCCTACCAATCATATGAACTAGTAATGCTTGCTGACCAGCTAGCTCTAACCATATCGAGGTGATTTAAACGTCAGACGGCTGTTTCGCTCGTATAAGAGAATGAGCTCACCAGAGGCGTACACTCAGCTCAGATAGCTGAATCAGTTCAAAGCACCCAATTTCTGATTAGCTACTTGGGTGAATTAGTGATACCATTAGTCAAACTCATCATAATTTGCAAATTCATTTAGCAATTTGCAATATACTGTGGACAATACTAGCTGATGCAGATGGTGTACAAATACTCATCTGTGATCCGTGTAACTTGGTTTCCAAAGGGAACTGTGTACATACATTAAAAATAGTGAATTTGGTTTATTAGTTATAATAAAGGTGTTTTTTTTTGTATTTCCCAATGAATGAAAAACAAAACGATATTGTTCTGTGTACTGACGAGCACACTCTTCGATGCTAACGGATGAGAAAGAAAAAGAAGAAGAAGAAATATCAAACATTACTGAAACTCTCATGCAAAACAACTACCCAAAGAACTTTATCAACAAAATCAACACTGATATAAGGTAGGGTTGAAAACATGGACATAAACAGTTGTCATTCCATATAGAGCACAGACGTCAGATGATATCAGAAGAGTACTCAATCAGCTCGACATCAGAGTTTTCTTTAAAACATCAGACATGCACACTACAAAGCAACCTTGTCCATATAAAAGACCAAATCCTTAAAGATTGTCTATCTAATTGTGTCTATAAAATAAAATGCTTGGAATGTGATGCGATATACATCGGACAAACAACGACAGAGAGGAATCAAGATCAGAAGAAATGAACACCGTAGAGCCGCATCTATTCGACCACCGAGGAATCCAGTTGAACTAGAAAAACTTGAAAAGTCATCAGCCATAAATCAATATTGACAATATTGAAATCATCATCCCGAAAAATTTAAGAAATCACAAAGAACTTCTCATATCTTTCAGAAGCACTTCATATCAAATAGAATCCAAATTGTCTGAAATGAATAAGAATGATGGACTAAAACAGAATTTGACCTGGTTACAGCACACTTGCCTTTCCCATGAAATGACAAAGTCGACACGAATGTGATAGTCAATTTCATTATGTAAAAACACACTGCTTTTATAATTTTTGACACACTTATCAAATCCAACAATCTACACCTGATGGTTTTGTTATCTTTACCAATTCGCCAACTAACTTGACAACGTAAAAATTATCCCATGCTGATGAACGATGATTAGGTTGTTGTATACAAGCTCAGACTTTGTAAATTCTGGTTAAATAATACTACTTTGATAAAGCTATTAGCAGCAGCATTAATGAATAGCGAAACGTCAGAAAACAAAACGACAATATCGGTTTGTTTTTCATTCATTGGGAAATACAAAAACAACCTTTATTATATAATGAATATCACATATACCCAATGGCCAAATGTTTATATCAAACTGTTAAGTGTGAACTTGGTTTGGACACGCATAATTTGATTTTTGTCACAAAATCATCTAGTATGGTTAACTTAATGAAATTTAGAGGTTATTATCATTATTATTGTCCCCTTGGGTTCCAAGTGGAACATAGGGCTTCAACTACACATCTCCACTTGTTTGTCTTCTGCCGTACTTTCCACCTGCATCCAT